GGAATAAGAATAGATAAAGTAGAAGTTAAACTATCATTATTTGTAGACGACATGATACTTCACTTGAAAGACCTAAAACACTCTACCAATAAGCTCCTAGAATTAATAAACAAAATTCATAGCAGAGTACAAAGTCAATTACCAAAAATCAATAGCATACCTCTATACAGATAACAAATAAACTGAGAGAGAAATTGGAGAAACAATACGCTTTACAATAGCATCCTAAAAAGGAAATAGCTAGGAATTATTCTGACTAATTGACATATTAATTGACTAATTGACTAAATAATTGACTAGTCAATTAATATGATTAATTGACTAAGGAGTAAAAGGTCTGTAAAATGAAAATTACATTATTGTGAAGAAATATATAGAACAAGATTTTAGAAAATAGAAAGGTATTCCTTGCTGCTTTATAGGAAGAAGAAACATTGTGAAAATGGCCATACACCCAAAATTCTTTCACAGATTTCATACAATCCCAATGATAACAACACCAACATAATTCGCAGATCTTGAGACAATATTCATAAAATTTACTTGGAATTAGATAAGACGTAAAATTGAAAAGGCAATATTGGGCAACAAAGGCAAGGCAGGAGGCATTGAAATTATACTACAAAGCCAGAGTGATTAAATCAGCATGGCATTGACATAAAATCAGGTCAATGAATCAGTAGAACAGAGTGAAAGATACAGATGAAAGTGCAAACACACTCAGCCATCTTTTTCTTGTAACATGGGCCAAACGCATTCACTGGAAGAAAGATAGCCTCTTTAACAAATGGTGCTTCAAAAACTATCTGTCCACATGCAGAAAAATAAACTAGACCGGTGTCTATCACCATTCACTAAGCTAAAGTCAAAATGGATTAAAAATCTAAACATTAAAACAGAAATACTAAATCTCCTGGAATAGAAAGTAGGTGGAAATCTTGAAGAGATGGGGCTTAACAGACAGTTCGTGAACAAAAATCAAACTGCCCAGAAAATATTACAAAGAATCGACAACTGGGAATTACTCTTATTGGGAATTTTCTGCACATCAAATGAAATGATCAACAGGGTGAAAAGACAACGCACAAAGTTGAAAAAAAAATTAAGCAATAGTCACACCAACAAAAGCCTTCTATCTAGAGTATATAAAGAACTAAAAATGTTAAGGTCCCAAAAGTTAAAGACCCTATACAAAAAATGTGTTTCTAAGATGAATATACACTTCTCAGGGGAAGAAATATAACAGACAATTATATAAAAATATGCACCACATTACTGACCATTCAAGCAATGGAATTTAAAACAAAATTGAGATACCATCTCACCCAAGAATTAATATCATAAATAAATCAATGAACAACAAATACTGGAGAGGCTGTGTTTAGAAAGGAACCCTTCTCTACTTCATGTGGGAATGTAGACTGGTACAACCACAATTAAATCACTGTAGAGAGTTTTCCAAAAATTAGAGTGTGAAATCCCTTTCAATCCAGCTGTTCTCTTTGTGGTTATTTTCCCAAAAGAACTGAAAGCATTGTACCACAATGATGTATGTGCGCTCATGTTTATAGCAGCACAATTGGTCACTGACAATTCTTGAAAACAACCAAAATGTCTACCACCTGAGGACTGGATGAAAAAGATGTGGTTTCTTTTATACAGTGGAGTATCAATCTATAAAGAAAGACAAACACAAAGCCTTCATTGTTAAATGGATGCAACTAGAAGTTATACTCATAAGTGAATTAAATAAGACCCACATGTCTAATATTGCATAATATTCCCATTGTAAACACCCAAATAATTAAACATGAAAGTTATAACACAAATAGTAAAACAGAAAGAAACTAATTTAAGGATTAAACAACAAAGATGAGAGAAAGGAGAAAACGTTGGAAAAAAGATAGGAGGGAAAATATTCAAGTATATATTCAGGATGGCTGAGGTGATTGTACCAAAAATTTCCTTAAGATTTTTTTGAAAGTAGCAGTTAATGTGTAGAATTTTCACCTTGACTAATGGCAGACTGATATCTGTGATCTAAGAATCTACACCAAGGACAGAAATATGTAACACAAAAAGCATGCTTGAATTCTTGTCATGTTGGTCTTCTAAATGTGTACCATTCCTAATGTTATATCAATTATTATTATTTGTTCTTCGAAATATTTTTTAAAAAGACAAAGCAAAACAAAACAAAACCCCAAGGGGGAGAAGAACAAAAATTTCAGGGTTCTGAAAAACAAGAAATAATATCCCAAGTTATGTCCAATCTTACATAACTATAGCTGTCAATCTGAGCAACAGATTTGATGATAAAATTAGATAGCATATCAAGCAATGCTAAGCAGCTATTCTTGTTCTGAAAATCTGAAACTTACATATTATTGTATGTCACCCAGTTTCTGTTATTGTTTCTGATTTTTGTTCTTGCTTTTGTCTTCTACATTTCAAAGTGAAATAATAAAATTAAATTTAATAAAAAGTAAAGTAAAATGCCCATTTTTGTATTCAAATATACTCTCAACAGAATCAAAATCCTGCACACGGTGACCAATTATGATGTGAATCAGAAGTGAGTGGTCAAGATTAGTAGTCGAATTCTTAAATTGAAAAAGGGAAAGGGGTAGGAGCTGCTTAGGTAGCTCAGCAGACTAAAGCACCTCTTAGGCAAGTATTGGAACCATGGTTGGATCTTGGACAGCTCATGACATGCCAGCCCCGCCCCAGCACCACGGAGCTGGCCACAGAGTCCAGGTCTAGAGGAGCATGCCTGTAATCCAGTGCTGAGGACACTGAAAACAGGAGGATCACTATGACTCCAAGTTGTGTAGTGAGACCCTGTAACAAGCAAATATAATATGAATAGGAGGGAAAATATTCAAGTATATATTCAGGATGGCTGAGGCGATTGTACCAAAAATTTCCTTAAGATTTTTTTTTGAAAATAGCAGTTAATGTGTAGAATTTTCACCTTGACTAATGGCAGACTGATATATATATATATATATATATATATATATATATATATAATGTATTGGAATATATATACCAAAGGGCAAAGGGTACATGACTCAGATGACAACGGGGTGTGGGAACATCGTGAGCTACATACTCCTAGTTATTTAACATTCATTTGAGACAGACATGTGTTGTGCTTTTGATCAACTGTGTCAACTTCGAACGTTTCAGAGCTTATCTCAATTAGCTTAGCATTCTACACACTAAGGTGGCTCATCACTTAATGTATATCAGAGCGACATGAGGAAAGACAGACGTTTCTTTTTCTTTGGAGGAGCTCCACTCATCACCTTCAGCTTCGGTGTCATGTCCTGCTGCTAGGGCAGACTTTCAGACATCTGCCTTGCATCCTCCAGCCTTCCCTTGTAGACCCACGGGCCCTCTGTCACGGACACATTGGTCTCCTGATATAGAATTGCGTCGCATGGTGCTGTGAGCTCTAGACCGTGGACAGAGTTTTCTAGTGTCCATTGTGCAGACACTGTCTGCATGCTTACTCCTACTCTATGGCTGACTGTCCACAGCCAATCTTGTAATTTCTTATACATTTGTACATCTTTTTTATTAAATTTATTGAGAAAAATATTTCAATGAGACAGTTTCAAAACAGGTTGGTAGGGAGTTACAACAATTGATACCTTGCATATGATTGTCTTTGTAGTAGTCATGCATGGCTCAAGATGCAGACATTATATCCTGTCAAAATACTATTAGTACAGGGCCAGGGAAATGGCTCAGTGGAATAAGCACTTCCTGGAAAATGCAAGGGTCTAAGTTCAATCCCCGGTTCTGCCAAAAAAAAAAAAAAAAAAACCCACATACTATTAGTACAAATCTTTCTGCTTATTGATTAAGAGAAAGTGGATACATATCTATTCTAACAATTTTGTATATACAGATGAATATATATATATATATATATATATATATAGTCCTTCATTTATATCTGCTTTTTATGTTTAGTTTTGCCAGAGATGGGTATTCCATTGTCATCCGAATATTGTAAGCATGAATTCAGCAAAATATTGCAATATAGTCCAGTAGCCCACAACAGTAGTGGATTATCTTGTTGTATATGTACTTCTCTGGTAAAACCCTCAAGCTGCACCTTGGCAGAATACTCAGATCAAATATGTTTTTAATAAACAAAAAACCTATATGTACAAATTAATATGAATCCATAGGTACATATATGTTACAGAACATATGGCAGGTAAACCATTTCTTATCACATTATTTAAAAACCCTATAAAATACCAGGAAAAATACATACCAAGAAAGATTACTGAATAAACGTTATGTAGCATAACTCAAATATACATTGTACACATATATAGATATCAGTAAAAGAGGATTGAAAAGGACAAAAGGAAATATAAATCTTGGATGAGCCAATGTTCTACTGCCTACCTCCAAGTAATTCTGCAATGTACCCTATAAATTCAATATACTGGCATCATATAGTCAATAGTGTTTATACTTGCATATGACCAGACAATTCTAGAATCACAAAAGTTATGCAAGAGGAAAGCTTTAATAATTGCAAAAGGGAAGTAAGAAAAGATATATAAATACCAATATGAAAATATAGCCTAATAAGCACATTGAAGAAAGGGTACTCCTCAAAAGAAATAAGTAATAGAATACATTAAAAAAGTCAGAAACAGTGGCATACAAGAAGTAATTTATTATGCTTTAACAAAAAATGTTAAGAAATCCAAAAGAAAGAGAAGATAAAATGTGATAATATGGTTATAGCAACAACAGGATAAATTCTGCCTTAAATAGGAAACAAAATATCCAGAAAAAATTCAACTTCAAGAAGTGAGGTTGACAGTCTCTAGTGAACATCTTCTATTAGAAAAAGAAGTTGCATCAGTTAGTAAGTATATGAAAGGCACAGTAGACTGTAGTGTCTGACTGCACATATGGTTCAACTTTGAATTCAGAACTTCTGTGTATATTATTAGAAAATAAGTTCAGTGATAAGACTTCTTTCTCACAGAATGTGTTTTGTCTCTGATCCCAGTCAGAAAAATTTTCTCTGGTTTTGCCAAAATGATATAGCACTTAGGGACAAAGATGCAGCCGAGCAGCCCTGCACTAGAGGCCAAAATGGAGAAGGCCTCCATGGCCACCATGGCCTTCCCCTTGCTGCTGTGGTACACGGGCAAGAAGGTGACCCACACGCTGCAGAACACCAGCATACTGAACGTCAGGAACTTGGCTTCATTGAAGGTGTCAGGCAGGTTCCTGGCTAGGAAAGCCACAGTGAAGCTCACCAGGGCCAGGGAGCCCAGGTATCCCAGGACACAGTAGAAGGCGGTGAAGGAGCCCTTGTTGCAAACGATCATGATGTGATCATGTTCAGAGTGAGCATCTGTGTCAATGTAGGGTGGATTTGTCCCCATCCAGATGCCACAGAGAGTGAGTTGGATCAGGGAGCAGATGGGGATGATGGAGTTTGGTACCCCTGACACCAGCAATTGCCTCATTCTTATGCCTGGAGCAGTGACCTGAAAGGCCAGCACCACAGTAATGGTTTTGGCCAAGACAGTGGAAACAGCCACAGTGAACACAACTGCAAACGTGGTCTGCTGCAAGATGCAGGAGGCTGTGTTGGGACGGCCAATGAAGAGCAAGGAACAGAGGAAACAGCAGGTGAGGGAGATGAGCAGGGTGTAGCTGAGAGCCCTGTTGTTGGCCTTGACGATGGGAGTGTCTCTGTGCTTCACAAAGAGCCCAAAGACAGCAGCTGTGAGGACAGTGAGACTCAGAGCAGTGCTAGCCAGAGCCTTCCCCAGGGGGTCTTCATAAGTCAGAAATGTCACAGATTTTTCGAGGCAGTGGTTTCTCTGACTGTTAGCATATTGGTCATCAGGACACTTCACACATTGTTCCATATCTAGGAAAAATGAAAATTGTGACTTGCCTACATTTAGTATTATCATTTTTACAGGCTTATGCCCAGAAATTCATTGAAGTTCCTTGGACTAAATTGTCATTTTTGGTAGTTTTTCTTGCTTTCTCTTTCATTTTTGTGTTTTATTTTATGTGGGACTGAGCTCAAATTTTACACTGAGATATATTTCAAACCATTTTAAATTTTCTTAGTTTGAGAAAGGATGTCCTTAAATCACTAGGTTGCCATTACTGTCTTCTGACTTAAAATCTTTTCTTTTTCTCACCTCCCAGATCACTGGACTTCAGGCAGGCAGTACCACGTCTCACTTTTCCATGATTTTTCTAGACACAAATTAACAGAACTGTATATAGAGATTACAGTTTCTCTATACACTGTTTCTCATTGTTTTCCTTTTAAATCTGGCATATACATAAAACATTGTATTTTTGCTAAGTAATAAGATCAATCTTTATTATTTACTTTACTTATGTGATCTACGTCAAATCTCTATTGATGCTTCCCCAGATATTTCATATAATACTAAAGCTATCACTTCTGTAAAAATGGCCAAGTTTTTCTAATTACATGTAGATATTTTTACTTGTTAAACAACGTATTCTGTGTGCATATCATCCTTGAAGTTCTGTGGTATAGTCTCCAATACATTCTACAGGGTGTCTCCCCTACTGTCTTATGCATTCCCGAGGAATGGGGATCAATCCTCAAAGTTGGACTGTGCTGTCGTAAGCATATTTTACATCTAAACAACCCCCTCTATCCAGTCAAAGTCAGGCTCTCTGAGCATGGGCTCTGTGTTAATAGTTGTGTCAGCCACTGGAGTTTGAAGTGGTCCTGCCCTTGTCTTGACTGTAATCTTGCTGTGGTTCCAAAGATTGTAAAGGGTGGTCTTTCTTACTGCACTGCATTAAACTTCACAGTGGAGATGGAGTACAGAAGCTGTGGTTAGAGGGCCAGGATTTGTCTGGATGAAATATTGTTTTTAATGAAACTAGAAAAATACATCAATGTCCTTAGGTGTGACAATGTCTATGTGTTATTCCAAATAATTAGTGGGCTGGAACAGGTCTATCAAATGTTTGCAGCACTCTGAGACAAATTGGTGATATTCTGTCTTATAATAACAAATAAGAATACCTGGGCACAGAGACCACTGATAATGCAAATTTTGGTTCCATTTGTAACAGGGCAGAAAACAACCAAAAGAAAGATGAATAAGAGTAGCAGAAAAATAAAATGAATTTGAGTGAGTTTTGAAGAGGAAAATATGTTTTCTGACAGGCAGTAACTATCCATAACCAATAACTTGACAGTGAAGGAAGTGTTTTACCTTTGTGTCCTCTACAACACTTTTACCATTTCTTGTGGATGGAGGGAAGATAACAGAGTGAGAATTTGTCCCCAGGACATGTTCCTACCTGTGCCATTGGTTATTTGCTTGTCTACACAAGGGGTGCAATCAAAACAGCAGGCAGCCTTTCCCTCCTGAGGACTTTTCCTAAAGCCAGGAATGCAACTCTCTGTGCAGAATGAGTGAGGAGTCTAAGGAAAAAATATATGTTGGTAACTTCTTCAACATTTACTTGCTTCATCCGAGCTAGAGGGATGAACTTAATTTGTACACGTACATAAGCAAAACTATGTACTTGCATGATAAACTTGTTTCATAATATGAAATATATTTAGATATTAATAATTAATTAAATAAATTATAATTTCTCTCATCAGAAAGGTTGTAACAATTTTTAATTGACAACTTACTATTGTTACTGAATTTTCACATGTGATCATTACGTGTAAAAAATTTGGTGGCACAAATTCTGTGCCAGTAGTTAGTTTACTTGTGGTTCATAAGTGTGCCATAATTAGGTGAGACATACCTCTGTATCTCCTGTGGCCCACTCGATCATATCTTCAGATACAGTCATTTTATGACCATGTGGAGCTCTTGAAGAAAATGTGCCAACTTTAACCCTAAGTCTAAGGCCTTCTGGAAAATTCCAGAAATTGACAATGTCATACTCTGAATCCAGTTTCTGTCTGTCATCCAAATTCACTAAGTCCCCCACAGGATTGGAAAACTGAATATTCTTCAGAAAGAGATGCAGCTGAAAAAAATCACATCATCCTATGAGGACAGAGCTCCAGGTAAAGACAAATATGAGTCAGGTAAAGATTATAATCATCTTTAAAATCTTTTTCCTAAAGCAACCTTAACACTGGTATTTATTACATGAGAGCACATAAATATTTCAGGACTAGAAAGTCACCATGATCAAGAAATTTCACCCAGTTTCAGAAAAATAAACTACTCTATGAAACCCTATGTAAAGAAAGCGTAGAGTTGTGTTGGGGTAAAACATGAAATGTAGAATCAAAGCACATAAAACCCACAACTTCTATTGCCTATCTGATTATTCACATAGAATCTACCTAAAAACTGTGTTCATACACAGATAGGTTAAATGACATTGAGTTCTGTAAGTGACTACAAGGTTTCCTGCTGTCCTTTAAGAATAATATGGACCTACCAGTCCCAGCCCAGGCGCAGCCTGGTTGTGACACTCTTCCACTCCCCTGGGATGCTCCCATCCACTCTGTAGCACGTCCTCCACCACGCCAGCCTAGGAGGAATTTCTCTCGCATTCCGGGAACCCCCAGATCCAGTCCTACCCATGTCAGGTGAGTGTGTGAGGGAGCTTCCAGCTACCCTATGCCAGCGGGACCTACCAGTCCCAGTCCAGGTGCAACATGGGTAAGACCCTCTTCCACTCTCCTGGGACAATCCATCAACTCCTTGACACAGCCTCCACTCTGCGCACTGTGTAGGAATTTCTGACCCATTCCGGGAACCACCAGATCAAGTCTTCGCCCAGACCCAGTGAGTATGTGGGAGAGTTGCCTCTCCACCCTACTCCACCTTGTCCCCTCCAGTCAGCTCAGGCCAGGCATACAGGCCTGAGTTGAAACCAGGCAGCTGCAATCCCTGCAGAGAGTGTAGAGGACAGAACTACCCAGTTAGTTCAGGAGCAGAATATCTTCCCAGAGGGGCACAACAGGTTCACCCCCAAAGGCAGCAGCAGAAAGGAGCTGAGCACAGCAGCCAGATCCAAGTCAGGCAAAATGGGATAAAACCAAAATTTGTAGATCTGCACCTGAATTTCAGTAGGTGCTAAGGTTATAATGGCACCAAAAATATACAACAAAGGTCAGAAGAGAGTGCTACACAAATGAAAACAAGAAGGAGCAAAATTCAATCTCAGACCCCAAGGGCACTGATAACAAGTGCAGAGGACAGGAACTCAGAACAACTTGGGAAACACAGAGCTGAAATCAATAAATCACCAGCTTCTGAAATAAAGAAACAGCTGCAGAAAGGTATAGAGGAAATCAGATTGGAAATGAAAAAAGAAATCCCCGAATTAATAACATCTGCAGTAAAGAATCAAATGCAGAAACATATGGAGGAAACCCAGTGATCACCCAGAACAAGAGCAGAAGACACTAGCTCAGGTCAAAAGTATGAATTAATAGTGTCGATAGTAAATAAGCAACAGCAGAAAGTCATAGAGGAACTCAGAGCGGAATTCTTTTCTACTAGCTCAGCTCAAATGTATGAATTAATAGGGTCGATGGTAAATAATCAACAGCAGAAAGTTATAGAAGAAAACAGAGCGGAATTTTCAGAAATAACAATAGAATTCTCAAAACTCATAGCATCTAAACTAAAGAATCAACTACAGAAACATAGAGAGGAAACCCAATCTGAAAAAATGCTGCAGTGAAAGAATTAATAAATGATTGTAAAGAAGACATTGATAAAAAAAAATAGAGGAGATTAGAAAAATGATGGATTCCTTGAAAGAGCAATAAAGGAAAGAAATAGATAACATGAAGCAGGGTCAAAAAGATATAGAGGAAAATAAAATCTAAATCACAAGATTCCAACACCGTTTAAGTGACACTGAAGACAGAGTTTCAGATCTTGCAGATGCTGGTAAGCTAGTGAAAAGGTAAGAAAAGTTCTCTTAATAAAAAATAGGATGCAGGAAAAAATAATCCATCACCTGCAAGATGATATAAAGATTAACAATGTGAGACTAATAGGCATCAGTGAAAAAGGAGTCAAAACAAATGACATTAAAAAATATGGGCAGAAGTAAGAGCAGAAAACTTCCAAAATACAATGAAACATTCTGATATTCAGGTAACTGAAGCATACAGAATGCCAAGTAAACTCAACAACAGTTAAAAACACACCGAGACATACAATATTTAAGATACCAGAATTAAGGCACAAGAATGATATACTCAAAACTGCTAGAGAAAAGAAGCAGATCACATTCAAAGGAAAACCCATCAGAATTATGGCCGACTTCTACTCACAAACCATGAAGGCAAGATGAGAATGAGGCAGAGTACTTCAAGTCCTCTATGAAAACAAATTCCAGCCCAGACTACTATACCTTGCAAAACTCTCTTTCAAGTTTGATGGAGAAGTGAAAGACTTCCATGACAAAGAACAACTAAAGAATTTAATGATGACAAAGCAAACCCTACAGAGGCTACTGAAAGAAGTTCTAGAGAGTGACTAAAATGATCAGAACACCAAGAATGATGACAGAAACAGTGAACTAAATAGGGCAAGCACTTAAACACAAGAGAAAAATGAGTAAAAATCAGGAGGTAAATAACATATCAATCGTAAGTCAATACATGTCAATTATAACCATCAATGTAAGTGGACTCAGTTCGCTAATTAAGAGAAATAGACTGACACACTGGATTGGACAAAAAATCCAACAATAAGGTGTATATAAGAAACACATTTAACTCATAAAGATATTCATAGGCTGAAAGTCAAAGGATGGAAAACAATATTACATGCACCAGCACCTCAGAAAAACGCAGGGGTAGAAATCCTATTCTCAGAGAGTCTCAACTTCAAACCAAGAATGAACAAGCAAAATAAAGAAGGCCACTATATACTGGTTATGGGAAAATTCAAGGAGAAGAGGTAAAACTCATAAATATGTACGCACCAAACACAGGAGAACGCAACCATATGAAGCAAATCTTAATGGACAAGAAAAATCTAATATCCAATACCACAATCTTAACAGGAGACATCAACACCCCCTTATCCCCAAAAGATAGGTCAACCAGACAAAAACTTAGCAAACAAGTAATAGAACTGAACCAGAGCTTTAAGCAAATGGACTTGGTGGACATATACAGAGTGTTTCAAACAAACACAGCTGAATACACATTTTTCTCAGCTTCAAATGGGTCATTTTCTAAAAGACACCACATACTGGTCCATAGGTCATGCTTAAATATATGCAAGAAAACAGAAATTATCCCAAGCTTGTCATATAACCACAGTGCAATGAAACTGGAAATAAATTGCAAAATAAAGCAGAAAAAAAAACCTAAATACATGTAAATTAAACAACACCCTACTCAGCAACAAATGCGTCACAGACGAAATTAAACATGAAACTCAACAATATCTACAATCCAATGAAAATTCAAGCACAACTTATCAGAAATTATGGGATACAATAAAAGTAGTTCTCAGAGGTAACATTCTTAGCTGTGAACTCACACATTAGGAAAACAGAACGGTAACAAATGCACACCCTAATGCTGCAATTCCTACAACTAGAAAAGGAAGAGCAAACCAAACCCAAAGCCCAAAGACAGGAACAAATCATAAAGATTAGAGCAGAAATTAATTCAATTGACAGAAGAAAACAGTACGAACAATTAAAAAAGCAAAAAGCTGGTTCTTGGAAAGATTAAATAAAATTGATAAGCCCCTAACTAACCTCATCAAAAAGACGTAAGAAAAAATTCAAATGCAAGCAGTAAGGAATGAAAAGGATGCAATTACCACAGACCCAGTGGAACTTCAGAAGATTTTCAATAGGTAATTTGAGAATCTTTACTCTCACAGAATAGAAGACACAAAAGGAATGGACAGATTCCTAGAAAGTTACAAATTACCACAACTGAATTGACAAGATATAGCCACTCTCAATAGGAAAATAACAGTCAATAAAATACGAGTTGTAATTAAAAACCTACGGACAAGGAAAACTCCAAGTTTGCATGGATTCACAGCTGAATTCTACAAGACATTTACAGACGATGTAGTCCATATATTCCTCAAATTCTTCCAGAAAATTGAAAAGGAATCAGTCCTCCCAAAATCATTCCTGGAGGCAAGTATTATACTGATAAAAAAAACCAGGGAAAGATGTAAGTAAGAAAGAAAACTACAGGCCGATCTCCCTCTTGAACATAGATGCCAAAATCCTCAATAAAATCTTAGCAAATAGAATACCGCAAATCATCAAGAAGGTCATACACCATGACCAGGTAGGACTCATCCCAGGGATGCAAGGATGGTTCAATATTCGAAAATCTATAAATGTAATACACTATATCAATGGAGTGAAAACTAAAAAAACATATGATCATTTAAATTTATGCAGAGGGCTGGAGAGATGGCTCAGTGGTCTAAAGCACCTACTTAGAACAAGCTTGGCAAGGCATCAGGGACCGCAGTTCAATTCCCCAGCCCACATGCTGTGCCA